GTAGATTTCCGACTCAATTAGAGTTGTTAGTGCATTACACACTTTTTAAATGTTAATCAGTGGTCATATAAGTTTTATATATAAATTTTACATAAAATTTCAATTTTTTAAACAAATATTTAAGATTTATTTATTTATTATTTTTTAATATAAAAAATTATAATAAATTTCAACCATTAATAACAAAAAATATATTATTATTATTTTTTTGTAAAATTTTTCCGTAAAGAATACTACCTTTTCTTTAATAATAATATCAAATTTCGGGATAATATATATAGTTGTGTAGTTGTTCTAATTTAGAATTGACAGATTATAAATGCATTCAATGTAAAATCACCAAACTGCGTGCTCACCTAACTAAACAAACGACCAATGCAATTTGTTTACAATTAAATAATTTTTAAAAATAAAAATAAAAATAAAAATGGCGCAAAACCACTTGGACTTTAAAATGTAAAATTGTTAGCCCATTTAGTTGGGCTTTAAAATACACTTTATTAGACACTTTTGAAGCATTTTAATTTTTTTTTTTAACAAGTTATTAAGGTCAAAACCCGTTCATGAAAAAAAAAAAAAGCATTTCAAACTAATAGAATGTCAAAAAAAAAAAAAAAAAAAAAGCATTTCAAACTAATAGAATGTCAATTGATCCAAAAGGTCAGGTGCATTTTAATTAACATAACTTTTAATTTAAAAGAGAAGAATAATTGATATTTTTTATTAATACTCTATAGCTATAATGTTATATATATTCTTAACATAATGAAAAGAAGAAATTATAAAATAAAATAAAGTTAGGCTGATGTCATGAGCCTTTTTCGTTAGCAATCAAAATCAACCTTCCCCTTTGATATAAAGGCACGTACAAATTTCTTCTTAAAAAATTCAGCCTTTCCCTCAATGTGTGAATGTGTAAATATACCATGTCCTTGTCTAATGTCTAAAACGGTCCCAGATTTTAGTCTTACACTTCTAAACGTGAGCCCAAAGGCAAAGCAGTGACTTCATTGTTTTCTTCTTCCTGTATTGATGTCGGTTTATTGACTTTCTGAACCACCAAAGAATTATAAGAGCATGAACTCAGGTTTTTTTATTAACAGCAAAACAATTTCATTCATGGAAATTTCAGCTTATTTGCTTGTTTTTACTTTCCTCCAAATATTCCTTCTTGCTCCATGCACTGCCTCTGATACTCTCAGGGAAGGTGATTCGCTGCACGTTCAGAAACCAGGGGATGTTCTGGCTTCTAAAAATGGCGTCTTTAATGCAGGGTTTTACAAAGTTGGAGAAAATGCTTTCTGCTTCGCCATATGGTTCAATGTTTCATCCGATCCCAATCACAACGTTGTTTGGATGGCCAACCGAGACCAACCCGTGAACGGCAAAGGCTCAAAGCTTTCCCTCTTGAGAAACGGCGGGCTTATCTTGACCGACACCGGTGGAAAAACAGAGTGGAATGTAGAATCTGTTTCAGCTCACTCTGTTCAACTAAATCTTCTCAACAATGGCAATCTTGCTCTTCAAACTCTGGACGGTAAATCCACCCTCTGGGAAAGCTTTAAGTTCCCTACAGATACACTTCTTCCTAATCAAGAATTCACCAAGGACACTAATCTTATCTCCTCAAGAAGCCGATCCAACTATTCTTCTGGTAATTATAAGTTCTACTTCGACAACGATAATGTCCTCCGCCTTCTTTATCAAGTGTCAGACATAACCAGTGTCTACTGGCCGCCGCCATATCTCCTTACTTGGGAAACAGGAAGTGAGAGGTCTACATATAACAGCAGCAGAGTTGCAATACTGAATTCTTCGGGTAACTTCAGGTCATCCGATAGTTTGTGGTTTCAGGCAGTGGATTCCGGTGCAGCTCCATTGAGAAGATTAACCCTTGATCCTGATGGTAATTTAAGGTTATACAGTCTGGAAGAGACAGCTGGGACTTGGGTTGTTTCTTGGGAAGCCTTTGGAGAACCTTGCAAGATTCATGGCATCTGTGGACAGAACAGCCTGTGCAAGTATGATCGAATTCGGGGCACGACATGTTCCTGCTTACCAGGATTCAGGATTAAGAATCCCCAGGATTGGTCTCAAGGCTGTGTACCAGAATTCAAAAATTCTTGCAACCAAAGCGATGTTGGATTTGTCAAACTTACTCATGTTGAATTCTATGGCTTCGACGCAGATTACAACGGCAATGGTACCTTGCAGAAGTGTGAAGAAAAATGCTTAAACTCGTGCGAGTGCAAAGGATTCCAGTTTAAATACGACCGTAATTGTTACTTCAAGATGTCGTTGATTAATGGATATCGTTCACCTGCATTTGTGGGGGATTTTTACTTGAAATTGCCCAAGTCCAGTATTAAATCTGGAGAAAATCTGGATAACGATTCAAGGTTGGCTTGTATCGACAACCCAGAAGTTGTTACACTGAATAGAACATATTCAAAAGGCAAACAAAATGGATCCTTGAAGTTTTTGGTTTGGTTCTCCATTGTGGTGGGAGTTGTGGAGTTCATATTCATTTTCTTGGTTTGGTGTATTTTGTTTAGAAGTAATGAAGATAACAAAGCAACAGTGCCGGTATACACACAGGTTGCAACTGGATTCAGAAGATACACTTATTCCGAGCTTAAAAAGGCAACCAATGGTTTTAGTGAAGAAATAGGAAGAGGTGGTGCCGGAATTGTGTACAAAGGAGAGTTGCCTGATCACCGCGTTGCTGCAATCAAGAGCCTTCACGAAGCTGGCCAAGGAGAAGCAGAGTTCCTCACAGAAGTAAGTACAATTTCAGGGCTTAATCATATGAACTTGATGGAAATGTGGGGGTATTGTGTAGAAGGAAAGCACAGGCTTTTGGTTTATGAGTACGTTGAACATGGTTCTTTAGCAGATAATCTTTCAAAGAATGCACTTAATTGGGCAAAGAGGTTCGAAATTGCTGTCAGCACTGCGAAGGGTTTGGCTTATTTGCATGAAGAGTGCTTGGATTGGATTCTACACTGTGATATTAAGCCACAGAACATACTCTTGGATTCCAATTTCCAACCAAAGGTGGCAGATTTTGGCCTTTCTAAGCTGCTAAATCGAGGAGGTCTCAATGGCTCAGGTTTCTCGAGGATAAGAGGAACAAGAGGCTACATGGCTCCTGAGTGGGTTTACAATCTTCCAATAACCTCCAAAGTTGATGTTTATAGCTATGGAATTGTGGTTTTGGAGATGGTGACTGGAAAGAGCTTGACCGGAGCTCAAACTGTTGACAATGTAGATCAGGTGGTGGAGCAGTGGAGGCTGGTTCCTTGGGTGAGGGAGAAGGTAAATAGAGATGTTTCGAGGAATACATGGATTGAAGAAGTTGCAGACCCTATGTTGGCTTCTGCCTATGACCTGGATAAGATGGAACGTTTGGTCAAAGTCGCATTGCAATGTGTGGAAGAAGAGATGGATGCAAGACCCACCATGCGTCAAGTTGTGGAGATGCTTTCGGACAATGAGGATGGAACTTCCAATTTCGTCTAGGAGCACTTTGACAAGCTATTGTGCTTCCCTCGTAGTTATTTGTGTTTGTTTTGCTATTTCTACCTTCAAATCCTAGTGTGCTTCCCACGTAGTGATTTGTGTTTGTTGTGCTTCCAATTTCGTTTGGTCAAAGTCGCATTGCAATGAGTTGAAGAAGAGATGGATGCAAGACCCACCAAGCGCCAAGTTGTGGAGATGCTTCGGACAATGAGGATGGAACTTCCAATTTCATCTAGGAGCACTTTGACAAGCTATTGTGCTTCCCTCGTAGTTATTTGTGTTTGTTTTGCTATTTCTACCTTCAAATCCTCTGCAACATAACCGCTTTAGTCATAATAAAACTAATCTACCTCTAAAGGATGTCTTAATAATAAAAGTTAGGATTGCTCATAATTTAAGTAATTTATTTTTATTTTTTTTATAAAAATCTAAGTAATTTATTTCATTTTAATTAAAGTAAAAGATTTTAAATTCAATTTTCATGTATGTTGATGCAGGAGCATGAAGTGTGTTTATTTTTATTTTTTTAATATTACTTGTTTTAGTTTGAGTTTTATTTGAATTCTAAATTTTAATTTTAGGAAAGTCATGTAGATAGCTTGTAATTTCTGATTAGGACTAGAATTAATAGGTTATTAAAAGTTCAACTTAATATTGAATTAGGATTCTTGGCTACTGTTACTATATATAGTTATCTTTAAATCTCTAAATAGGTTTTTGTTATGAGATTTTAATTTGAGAATAAACTTGAGGTTGAAACTTTAAGTTTTATTGGTTCCATCTTTAATTTTACAAAGTTCTTAGTTTCTATTTGTTCTACCCCTACTTTGCCTACATCAAATTAGTATTAGAGCTATGGCGGATTGTGGCAGAGGAAATAAAGGCCAACAAGCAAAATTAGCTAACATGTAATGTATGATTGAATACTTGTCATGAGTTGTGTAAGCTTTACAACAATAGGAACCCATGGGATCCCATATGGAGATGTCGAAGGGTGACCATAACCCTACAGGCACACCAAAAGGTAGTTTGGAGGATGATTCC